TTAGACAGAATGGCAGGGGACTGATAAAATAGTTGTCAGGGAAGTCCCACTGAATGTTTCCTCAAGAATACCACTGCCGTGGTAGCAATGCTGACTCAGGACCTGATCCCACTGGATGCTCAGCACCATCTTGCTGTATGTTTTTCTTAGCAGAGTTAGCCTCTAGGTTTAGACCCTTCTGGGCAAACTCAGCATGTATGAAAGTGGTACAGGTACACAAATAACACCCAAGCTACACCCTGTGTTAATCACTCATGCTCTGATCTTGCAGACACCTACAAACACATGTTCCTCCCATGAGTAGTTCTCTTGACTGAAATAGGCCACATAAACTGGGGTTAGACGTGTTTCTGTTTGCAGGACTGGGGACTTTTATTGCACCAGTACAGGTATGCTTCATGGAGAAGGGCTTGTGCTCTCTTCTCTTGCTGGGGATTGAAAGATAATGTTGTGTTTATACAGCTTTGGAATACAGCCTGCACTTTTTGGGGGAAAAAAAAGTAAAAAAAAAAAAAAAAAAGGAAACGAAGATACAAAAAGAAGAAAACCCAAGAGTGCTAAGGCAAACTGTCAAATGGCACATCATACCTACTTTGTCATTCATTTAGATAACATCACAAAGGCAGACCAAAGGAGTTCTGTAAACATATACCATACAGTACATCAGCCACAGAAAAATAAAAAAAGAAAATAACCCTGTAATTCTTTTCTTTCTGTATTGATATTCTTGTAATTGAAAGAGATTGCCTAGCCACTAATTCTAATGTTGTGTTTTCTGATTTGTATTTTTCTTCTGTTTGAAAAAAAAAAAAGAAGTAGAATGCAGTGGTTTGAAAATAAACAGTCCCTGAATGAAAACAAGGGACAACATGGAAACTGGGTTCATAGAAACTTAGAAAATACAAAATATAAAAAAGTTTCATAGGTTACTTTTTTCCAGTTTAGGAAAAGACATGCTGAAAAGAGTTTTCTTGTTTTCCTTACAAAAATTAAGGCGAGCAGTTTGTTGTGGCAAAATGTTAACACTGAATCAGTTTCTGACTGTACTTTTTTGTATCTCTTCATGCTGAAATAGAAAATATACAGATGATGGCATAAGATAAACAGACAGGGAGTTTGCTCAAAACAATACAAAAAACTCCCGTTATGATCCTTATGAAATCTCTCTCTGCTTTACTGTAGAGTGGACCTCTTCTTTCACATCTGATTGTGCATGTATTTCCACTGGCTGCTTTCTGTCTGAGGGCATGAGGAAAATTCATGCCTTCCAAAGCTCAAAGAAGCCCTGGAAATCAGTTTACATTCATCAACATATGCTAACACACTTGAATTCCCATGTAATTTGGCTGCAGTCTAATGGCTAGTATGGACAAGCTGATGTCCAGCAAGGCTGTTGCACTTGCAGAAGAATAATCATGTTTCAGGCAGTGTAGCTAAGACTCTCCGAGTTCAGATTAATTTGCTTTTGTTTTGTGTTTTGCTTGACCTCAGGTATGGAACTGACTAACAAAGACAAACCCTTTACAACACACCTTCAGGTTTTTTTTTTGGATCTGTCATGGCCTGTTAACCATGAAGTTCATATGAACACAAAAAACACTGGCCTTCCTAGGCACTCAATGTCAGCTACAGGTACTGAGCAGTAGGTATTTGGCAGGTTTAAGTTTTAAGGCTTGTGCTCTACTTCTAACCACTGAAGGGCCATTTCTGAGCTCTTACATGCCACCATCTCCCTACCACGTTGTGCCTCAAATGTCGCATGGTCTCAGATGTATTCTGGTCCCAGCCTCAGCATGCATTTCCCAAAGCTGGCCACTAAGGGAGTCATCCCCAAAACGCTGAGTCTGTGTTGAACCAGAAGATCATCTGAATGGAGAGTGCAAGGCTGAAGAGAAGGATGGACAGATCAGATAAGGAGTGGTACCCGAGAATGTCCTCAGTCAAGTCCAAATGTCATGAGCAGAGGACTGTGGGGAAAATGTCTGTAAAGGGAAGAGTAGTAGGGAAAAAGGTTGGGCTGGGAAGAGGAGGCCAGGGTGGCCATGAAGTCAGGATCACAGCCAGAGGGGGCATGACTGGCCAGACCAGGAGGAGAGATGCAGAAGATGTTTTTGAGGTGAGGTAAGCTGGCCCCAGAGTGACAGAACTATTGCAAAGCATGTCTACAGGCCTCCCACTGGCTCCTGAGTAGACTGAGTCAGACTCCAGAGGCTTTCATGATGCAGGAATGAAGTAGAAACTTTACTGTCCCTTCTGGTTTATGTCACAATGTTCTTGCAATTCTTGAATTTCTAAGCATGCCCTGCCGAAGCTTTGGCTATTTCCCCATTGCACAGTGCCTGGAGTGGAGCAGGCTATGGTGATGTGACTATGGATGCATGGGTCAGTGCTCCTCAGCTGAGTTGCAGTGACCTCACGTAGCTTCTTGGAAATGCACAAAAAGCCCTGAAATGGTTCTGTGTGATGGTGTCAGGGTCTGGATTACCACGGCCAGGCTGATGAATAGTAATGGGATAAGCCGGGATAGCTCAGCCCCTGGGGTCAACTACCCACACCTTGGTCTGCTGAACTTGAGGATCGCCTCATGAAGCCATGTCATATAGCTGAAAGCTCATGGCCTTGATTTAAGAAATGTTGAGATTTGTAAATAGTTACCGTTTCTGGAAAAAAAAACCTGACCAAACAACAACAAAAAACCAACCCAACAACAAACCCAAAACATTCCAAACGAACAAAAATACAGGCTGCTGATCTCCAACACAGTTTCTAGCAAATAGACACCAGTAATAATTATCACAGTGCACAACCTTGCAGCCATTCTCTTCTCTGATAAAACTGTTAATCACATAGGCCTGAGTCAAGTGATGATTTTCAGAGTTTCTGTTGTTGGGTTTGGTCCTTCTCTCATCCAGAAGCCCCAGAGGAGGCTGAGGGAACATGCAGAAATCTATTAAATGTTAAATCAGGCCACTGAAGCAAATACAGAGGCCAGCATAATTCCTGCAGGTGTCAGATGGGTGTAGCTCTCTTTTCTTAATCACCAATTTTCTTTTTTTATTACTGTAACCTGGGCAGTGGTGAAAAGTTACATTGACCAACTTTGTATTGACAGCTAAGTGATCTTACATAGAAACTACTTTTTGCATTTTCTTGTGTTTGTTTTTAGTGTGCCTCATATAACTCTAGTAATGAGCAAGTGTCTTTTTTGCTGGCACAGAAAGAAAAGAGTACAGAGCAAGAACTGTTTAATCAGATGCTCTGAACTAACAATTAATGCAGTAAAAGCACCATCCAAGAAAATACAGAAATACCATAGGAACCACCTCAGAATGAAAAGAGGCTTGTTGTTACTTTCTTTCTTTCTTTCTTTTTAATATTTTTTTTCCTGTTGTAATATTCATTTTTAAAGTCTGATAGTTTGAAAGACACTTCAAAATACTCTTCAGTATTTTTAACACTATCAGAAAATATAAATCCTGATTTTCAGTCTCACTTCTACTGTTACAAATCCAGACCAATTTCACCAGAGTGAAGTTGCACCTAAGCAAAACCAATGTGAGACAAGAATCAGGCTCATAGTATCTTACCATGAAAAAGCTGGCTGCTTTTTCACTGTAGTTAGAAGAAACAATGGACTGAGAAATAAACATCTATTGATTTTGGATGCATTCACCTTTGTAAAGTTTAACTTTGAGACGTTTTTTTAAAGGCCTGATTTTCAGAGGGCAGAAGAAAAATTTATTGGAAATCAGGCCTCTCTGAAGTATCCCACACCAGGAAGTGAAGCATCCAAAACCACCAGCATTTTTGAAAATGTTAGCCTTACGGCGCTAGGATCACTTTCTGAAACAGCTGCTTAAACAAAACTCCGGTAGGCCTCCACGGGAGTTTTGGCTAGGTAAGCATGGCAGGATCAGACCCATCACTTGTCAGCACGTCAGTGCACTGGAGGTGCACTCAATGAAAAATAACAGTTTCCTATCGCAAAATAAAAATCTGGCCCTGCCCACATTTCCAGCACTGAGAATTTCCCCACTGAATTCAGTGCGAGCAGGGTCAGACTGTGAGAGAAGATTACTTATATTCTAGGGAAGTAGAAAGCAGTATCTCTCCTCTACTGGAGTTCAGCAGGAAACTTCATATATAACATTGGCAGAGTTACTGAAAGGCAAGTAATTAGATCAGTAACCCCATTTCAGTTGGTGTTACAGCTGCATCTTTTTCTTGTCAAGTTAGTTTCAGTTGCAGTTTGGGGAGATGAAGTTCACATACAATACTGTAATCTGGAAGATTTATATAAGGCAAAATTATCATTCATATGTTTTCTTGAAAGAATAATTAAGGTCCACTTTTGGTATTACCAATAAGCAGAAATGGCTGATGGATTTTTGTGACACTGCAAACTAAACTGAAAAGTTACTATAAAACGAAACTATGCAAACCTTTCAGGAAGGACTTATCTGAATTTTAGCAAATTAAAATAGTAAAATGATCTAAGTCTTCCCCTGAGAAATAAAAAATAGCATCTATAAAATAATGTTTAAATGTGATTTTTGTCTTAAAAAAAAAGAAATGACATTTCTTTAAGGCTCTCATATCTGGCTGCTGTGAAATTCAGACTCCTATAAAATCCTAGGAAACTGATCAAGCCTGCCAGATATCCAAAGAAAATGTAAAAAGTGTTTTCATTATATATATTATATATATGTATAGATCAAATAAATATGAAAACATTTGTTCCATTTCCCACTTATCTCTCACTCTGCAATATTAAGGAGAAAAATAAAATAAAATCTCCAACCACTCCTCGAACCCCAGAGTGTACGTCTGATGGGAAAATAACCATGTGTTCCTCTTCCTGAAGAACTAGAAATCAAAGCAACCCAACTGCAAGGCAATGGAGGCATTCACTTCCAGTTCACAGTATTGCAGCTAGAAGTACAATGAGATCTAGGTAAGTGATGGAGCAGGAGCTGCCGGAGTGGGGAAGGAGAAGGTGTTCACATGACAATACAGCATTGACAGCGCTTTTTCTTTTGTGTACCTGGGGCAGCTTCCAAGGGCAGGCTCTCTTCCTTCCCCTCAGGAGAGGAGGGCTCTGTTGTGTCTGACAGGGGCCTGCCAGAGACCAGCTCAGCGGCGTTCCCGTCCATGGTGGAGATGTCTGTCACTGTCTTCTCTCTCAAAGACTTCTCATCGTCTTCATCGATCAGAACCAACTCTGCTTTGATGGTTTCATCATAGCCCAGCACTTTTTTCGTCTCCTCTTCATCGTCAATGCTCTGGTAGCCCATAAATATCATTGTCACTGGTTGATCTGCACTGGCCTCTGGAACTTCACCACCACGGGGTTTGTCTTGGGGCTGGGAATTCACAGCATGCCCTTTGTTTGGTTTGTGTACCATTTCCAGCTTTGCCTCCTTGAAGAGCATTTGCTCCTTCATATGGCTAAGGTTTCCATCAGCTACTGCATTTCTGTCTGACACAGTCATTATTTCATACCCTCCTTTTACATTTGATTGTCCAGCTTTTTGCATAAGTTCATCTACGTCCTTTGAGCTTAATTTATGTACTCCGTTTTCTACCACTGTGCCACCAGAGTGAACCTCATAGACTACCTTGGTACCATCATCATAGACTTTGAATCCTCTTTGATGGGCCTCATCTGGGCCAACAGGTGAAGCAGAGACAATCTTGGTCTCTCCTGTCTGTTTGTCTTTCTCCACATTAATTTCCATGGTGCACAAAGCTTGAATGAAAACAAGAAAGGAAGTGCATGTTACAACAAAAAAAGCCAGTGAATGGTTAATTGCCAAACAGACAAAGAAAACTATGGTGCCCCTTTTCCTGTCAGCTGCTTCTAAAGGGTCAAGTGCTCTACGTTAGAAGTGGAATGCAATGCTGTGAACAGAGATAGTTACTATTTTACAGCTTCTGTGTAGTTGGAGGCAAGACATACCTGTGTCAGATGGGATGTAGTCTTCCCAACTCACACTATGTGGAACTGCCTCTGGTCATTCAGGAGTGCCAAGAGCACTTAGGTTAGATGTACTTTAGACAAAGGGAAGTGACAGCATGCAGATTGGCCTCACTCTTTCCTTTCTGAACTTGCCTCAGAATTCAAAGATAAACTAATCTCCAGCAACCTCTTTACATTCTTTTCCTTTTCTGTCATCAAACTAACAGTTAGCTGGTAAGAAGTTTTGTTTGCTGCAAGTAACACCCAGACTTGATAAACACTTATACTTGCTTATCTCTTCCATCTATGGTATTCAAAACATTTTAGAGGTGTGAAGAACCAATTTTTTTAACCCTGTTCTACAAGTAGGAAAACAAAATCACATGGGAATGAGATAATTTTTCCTGTAGACTTGTGACAGGACAGATCTCTTCTTCCACATCAAGACTTCAACAGTGACCTCTGTTTGCAGGTTAATAGAATATATAAAATGGCCTTGAGGAGCTCCCTTCCTTCTTTGGATGAGCCCTAAGCATCGTCTCCAAAGGGGAAAGGTGAAGAAAAAAGTAACAATGAACCAATTTTCAAAGCACCATGAAACAATGGATAAAAATACGTGTGTGAGGGATGCTGTTTTAGAGTAGCAAATAAACTTTTCTAGCAGTTAAAAAAGACGCAGCAATAAGTCAAAAGTAGTTGAGACCACATAGCAGGAATAGTATTCATCACTCTAACCCTCATTTTGAGACATAATGGCATCTCACTGGACAGCTTTTCAAGGAGAAATGTGCAAAGGCTTCACAGATTTTCCAGAGGCAGAAGTGTTCATCTGTTCAAATATTTCTTGCATATAGATTAAGACATTCTTGAACAGACATTCACAGACACTTACGAACTACCACAAGCAATGAGAAGTGTTTGTGAAACTTATGATGACCGTTTTCACCAATGAACCTAAATAGCATAATCATGATTTTTCTTACCTGAGACACCAAAAACTGGTGTCTTGGCTTTCTTCCTGAATTTTTTTTCAAGTGAATATAGAATAATAATTGCCCAAGAGTCAGTGTAGCTTGATATGTTTGTATTCTAAACACCATTGCTATTAAAAATTAGACACAAAATGCATTCTTTCAGTCTTATTATTCTCATGGAGTAGAATATTTTTTAATGTATTCTCAAAATGGAATCTCTCACTGGCATAATGTAATTAATCATGTGGTGCATTATGAACCACTATATCTTTAGATGAAAAATTTAGATACTGTAGAATGGTTATAGCTGATAATATCCTAAATATTAGGGAGAATTTGGTCAACAAATTCCAGCACTGCATGGAACACTCTGTGCTAAAGATAGACCTGATTTAGAAAGTTCACAAGTGTGGTTCATGTCCTTGTGTATTTGGTGTTTGTCAAAATTTGCTTAAACATTTTCCACTGTCAACATTTTCTTTTTATCTACGATGACTTAGCAGTAGTGTTTTTGATATAACTTTTGTGCTTTATGACCTATTCTGGAGATCACATCAAAGCTACTTTTGCAAGTAAATGCATAAATATATCTGAAAGTCTTGGAAAGCTGTTCACTAGTGAAGCACGTTGCTACAGGAGAAATGAATAACAGAACTCTGTTTATCCACTGATGTGCACAATGCTAGATCTCTACAGGAAAATCTAGCAGTCCAGCTTGTCAACATAGCTGAAAACTGAACTAATGCAGATTTATAAAATGTCTTTATTCAGCTAGAACTTATTTACTGCAAAATGTGCTCTGTTAACACAATACAAAGCTGTCTGACAATAGAGTTGAAACTGAAAGCAGTACTTGAAGATGACAGCCTGTATTCATGGGTACAAGCCTTCTGTACAAGCTTTAATTAAAGTGTAACATGACACAGTGCTTCATGACAACAAGATCCCAATGTACATATGAAAAGAACTGGCTTCTGCCTATTGCTTTAAACAGTGGGACTCTGAGGCTATTCTTTTAAAAAAATCTTAATAGATTTTGAAAATATATTAAGATGGATGCTAACAGTCTACCCTTGTAGACTGTTAGCTAGACATGTGCTAGTGTCTTCTCATCACATAGAATACTCTTCCCAAGGAATATGTGAACAAGACTTCTTGGTCATCCAAAGAGTGAAAGAAATGTTTGCATTCTTGGTATTGACAAAATGGCACAAAACATACAGTGAAAAACTTGCTTTTCAGACAGATTAGGGTCAGCACTGGTGGAAGTGAAGCTTTTAGTACGGCTTGCAACAGGAACATTTTGTCTGAACAAAATGACATATCTGATAGCGGTCTACAGTGTCTCAGCTGCAAAAGCTGCTTTGTTATCCTTACAAACTCATTCTTCCTGATAACCACCTTTTCTTTTCTTATTCCTCTAGACAACTCTTAAGTACCCACCAGCAGTTTGGTTTGAGATAGGGAAAATGCTGTTTAGAGAAGAAGGCTCTTTAAAATAAGGAACACATGCAGCTTTTAACGGTCACACCAGTACATTTAGGACACGTACACAGTCTGAAAAATAAGTGTTACGAAACTCTCTGTATGGCTGCAAGCACAAAGCACATCATTATAATTCTCCCCACACTTTTTCTTGAGAAGATAGAAAGGTAGCAAAGTGGTATAAAATGACATTTAAGTCTGAAGCATGACTGGAGGCTTGTGAGTGCCTATATGTCTCATTCATCTTGAGGGGAGTCACTTCGGTACAATGGAGGAGGTAAAACCACGATCTGGATATTGTGTATTTTTCTAAGCAGAGATGGAAGGAACTAAATGTTTTCACAAAAAAATTGACACATTTCCTATGCTGCTTGTGTTTGGTCAATATATATTGTTTTGAGAGTGCTCTTTGCTGCCTAAAAAGCCTTGACTTATTTACAAAATATGTATCAAACGGCATTTCCTGGCATTTAAATGATATCGGGAGTCCAGACCAATTAAGGAAATATAACAAAGAAGGGTTCATGGCTACTGGATTGGTATTATAAAGCTTTGCTCCTTGAGACTTACCAGCTACTCTGCTTGCTCCGTCCCGCCCAGGAATTGGCTCTGCTGTTCGTGAATAGAGGGTTGGGAGTTCAGGGATCTGGGAGCAAATGTAATTTACTGCATCTGGTGTCAGAGAACAGGAAACAGTTAGATTTGTGCTACGAGCCCCAGTGGCTTCATTGCTTAGACAGCAGAGTGTTAAGTTGTCAGCCCTGACAATAGTTGCTGGAGCTTTGTATTAGATAATTGGATCAAAGCAAACAAAATGCAAAGTCACAGTCGTGTGATTGGTGTTCACTAAACTAGCTGAGGTAGGAGGGAATGGGTCCAGATGACTCAAACCTTGTGTAGGTTCAACACATAAAATTTTTTTGTCAGGAGGTTCTGGATTTATCAAGTCTGTGACCTTTAAATATAGCAAATGTTGGGGGGAAAGATGGGGTGGGCAAGGAGAAGAAGAAACCTGGAGTCATATCTAGCATAACAAACATCTCACATAGAGATATAAAAGCCTAAAAATGCTGTTGTTGGCTGAAAGGGATGAAAGGACAGTTCTTTTTGCATGGGTTGTTTGCATATTATAGAACTGCCAGTTGGCTCTTTGTTCTTAGAGATATTAATATAGCTAATAATGAAATAACATATAGGTAAAGTCTAGTAGGGTGCTCATTGTGCCCTGCAGCACTTATTAAGTTCTTGCCAGCTCTGTAGTGCCTCTGTTCATTATCAGTGTTCAAAAAAGTAGAGAACTTGCTGGAAGGCTGACTTGCTTACTGTTGTTTACCACAAGCTAAATATATTCTTTAGAAAAGACATTAAAGATGTTTTATAAACATTTACTGGGAGAAGTTTTATGACTGGGTTAAATATAACTTCCGCTAAGGTTCAGTGGCTGAATTAAAAGAAGAGCTCTGAGGAGAGATGTGCAAGTAACTAACTTTCAATTTGACTTCCAAAACAAAAGAAGCAGAAAAAAAATAAAATTACATTGTTTCATATCAGTTGGGAATTTTTTGAAATTGTGGAAAAGGTGGAATTTCTGTTCAAACATAAAATTCCATCTGGTCTGACACAGAAGATATGTTGTCCTCCAAGGATACGTTGCAGATACATTGTGAAATTAAGCTGCTGCGCCCTTGATATGACCTGGTTCACGTGTGAGGATAGGAGGTAGAATCCGCCTTCCTCAGTGTCTCTTGTTGTGAGCAGGTAAAATACAAAGAATTAGTGCAGACAGTGAATGTGAAATGGAGAAGGATGAGAGAAAATGAAGTGCCATGTCGGTGCCTACATCACTGCCACCATTTCTCTTGTGAATGGAGATATGTTCACTGTGTTCTTCCCTGTTGGCCAATACCCATCCCCCAAAATACCCAAGAAACATGTATTGTCCCTGATGGCACTGCCAATAAAAACAAGACATGCCACCTCTAACCCCAAACCTGCTCCTTTGAAGGACAGCTGTCCTGCTGTGAGTGGAACGGTTTTATGCCCTAATAGCCTGCAGTGGCCACTGGAGCTGCTTGGTATGATGAGGTAGTAATTGCAGTCCTAAAGAGGACAGTTCACCAGTGGAGCAATGTAAATGACTCAAGAAAGGTCCCTTCCAATCCAAACCATTCTGTGATTCTATGATCCTATGAAAGAGGCACCTGCTCTGTCTTTTCTGTTTCCTGTGTCACAATAGGATGAGGGAGAGGCACAGTGCAAATTCATTCAGGAAAGTCAGGAAGTTGTAACAGAAGTTCAGATGAATTTCAAAAAGCTCAGTCAGGGAAATACTGCTTTATTTCACACTTCAGTGGACAAATGGCAGTCTTGGCAACTGAGCCTTTATATTTTCAATGCACAATGTTTCCTCGAAGGTTCTTTTTTTAAATTTTTATTTTTAGCAATATGGCCTAGGAGAAATAATTGTTTAGGACACAGCTGACTGAACAGTGGCCAGTAACAGCTGCTATCTTTCGTAGGGTGTCTTGCCTCTGATAAGAAATTGGTACAATGCTCTCTGTTGTTATTCTGTGGAACATCACCAGCAAATGAATAGGCTAATATTGAAAACTGAAGTAATTTCTCAGAAGTAAGAAATGTTGAGACTGCTTCTTTGCCAGAACGAGAAGGCAATTTGTATTCTGGAAATGGCAGAATTTTAGTAATTATTTACCCCATCGAGTGTGATGCTGGAACAGCAGTTTCATTGCACACTCATCCAATGACTGGAGTGACAGACTTGTCTGTCCACGTACGGGTGTTGTCAGCACATTCCATCATTTAGCGCTGCTGTTGTCCAGCAGTAGGCCAAGCACTTCTCACTTTGATGCTTGCAACTCTATGGACTTTAGTAAGGTACTGGCTTTTTGGCCTCTTGTGTTAGGAGGCAATGTCTTTCAGTTGCTGGTAGCATTGACTCAGCTTAGAAACATATAATAAAGTACTTAAAACTGTTGTTCAAGGACTCCTGACAATCCCCAGTTACCAGAGAGTAGGAAAGTTATAGTTGGGGGGATATGTATCAGAGGGATATCAGAGGGACTGGGATATTTTGTTTGGTTCATTTTGGCTGTTTCTGTGACAGCTTCCCCCCACCCGACCCTGGATGAAAAGAGCTTATTTCCCTTTATTTCTCTGGCAACAAGGTCTAAAAACAATATGAGAGCAATTTTACAAGGAGTGGCTGAGATACAATTAGCATTTTGTTCACATGAGAAGTTAGACAGGTCATAAATTAAAGCATTTGAACTGACTCCATTCAATAGCTCAGTTTCAACCTTTGATGAGCTATTAATATCTCAGAATGCCATAAAACATGTCCTGTGGCTTTTCATACAACTTATAAGAAGCTGCATTTTAGGATTATGCCACTTCTCCATATTATCAGACTAATGAAGTGATTGAGAACACATATAGGGCCTGGTAATCTTTCAAGGGTGCTTACTCAGAACAAAACGTTTGGGGCTGCTCAAAGTAGCTCATGGTGAGCTCATTTTCCAAGAGCTTGATTTATTTTAAAAATGTCTAACTATGACAAACTGGGTGCCTGAGTTCTGCCATGCACACTGGCACCCAGGACAGGGCTGTTCCCCTGTGAAGCCATCTGGTTCTGCAGAGCACTATGGCAGGGTGAACAGAGATGATGAGCCCCCACCACGCTTGTAAGATCAGGAACACGGGTCTGAGCAGGTGGCTGTGCGTCAAACCAGATTGAAGCAGAGGAAGCTAGATGAGCTGCTAAGCCAGCAGCTGGGAATCAAACCATCCACATCAGGTTTTCAGAGCCATAGGGTTGTCAAATATATATTAACATACACAAGATTCAAACAGCTCATGCAAACTGTAGAGTTGCTGCAGCTGTGGCTTTTGCCTGTTCAGTGAAGTAGCAGACTGCAGTTTGCATTCTGATGGCTTAATGCTGCAGGGAATGAATTTATCCCAGGGCAAAGAGTCAACAGAGTCACGCTGGATCTTAATGGGGCTTTTAGTTTATGCATAGACTGAGTCACAAACATATGCACACATGGAGTGTCAGCACTCTCTTTTCTATTTGTTCACACTAGGCATGCAGCACAATGCTACAGAGTGCCTGGTTTTGCCTGTAGACACTGAAAGCAATAAATTACACCATCCCTAGTGATATCGCAGGCCTTGTTTAACTGGAGAGCTTCTCCTGTGGGCCTATGGCACCATAGGCTGGCAGAAGCTTGACTGCAGAGGATGGAACCACTGTCAGAGCCTTGGTTCCTGCTCAGCTTTATTTTGTGTAGCACTCTATGATGGCAAAATATATTTGTACCCTGGAAATGTGAGATTTGCGTTTATTGTGTCTGGATGACTTCAAGCTCATAGGTGGTCACTGCTAAAACAGTTTGTCGGGAAGGATACCGAGCCACTTGGTTGATCATCAGTGTTTACCACCTCTTCTCTTCCCTCATCTCCTTCTGTATTTCTCTGGGCTCTGAACTCTCTGCAGTTGTTTTTTTTTTACATAAGCAAAAGCTATGTCAACACCACATACATGGCACAGAAGCATGCAGAGGGATACATTGGAGAGGTAAATCACTTTCTACATTGTCACTACATTTACAATAAAGGGAAGCATGTATTCTGTGAACTAACATGAGATTTTTGAACTCAGTCTTCCAGGTATCAGTTGAATGATCTGCCAACATAGGTAGCAAATGGTGTATGTACTGACTCATGTATGTTTTTACACAGCCTTGCTGTAAAATGCAATGGTTCCTATCATTTTCCTCTGCAACATGCATTATACAGTTGACAAATGAATGATCTGCCTAAATAAAGGAAGTTGTATGTGTATTTGAAATGTGGATAAATCTACGTTATTGAACTGTTCACAGCTAGCAATGCATATAACCTCTTCTTTCTGTGATCAGCTGCCAACACAGAGTCTGCTGTTGGGCAGCAGAAAACAGAACTTATCCACATAGACAGGTACAGCCACACCATGCCACCTGGCACAATGGCTCACAGCCCTGAACATTTCTAGAGCCTCAGAGTGCAGTCTGCTTCTTCACAAAACTGCCTAGAGGATGACCAGATACCAAGGGGATGAGATAAGGCAGGTAAACCAAGGCTTCAGAAGAGGTACCTACAAACTTATCTAAATCCCCCCCCTCCCCTGGTCACACATGGGTTCTGTGAGCAACCTGCTGCCATTTACATAATTTTACTGCTATCTGTTAGACCTGCAGACATCACAAGCTATTTTTGCTTCTGTCTCAGTCTGTGAAGGAATAATCTGCTGAGATCAGGCCAAATCTAAAGCATGGTGAGGTTGAACAAAGTACTGCACAAAGTACTGAACAAAGATGGATACGTTACAAGAAAAAGCTTTAGGGGAAACTATTGCCTCACATGTGCTAAGAGGAGTTTTGTTTGACTCAAGTTTTATTATATCACTCATGGAAAAGCAGACTGTGCCTTGCAGGAGTTCTGAAGGTTGCTGCATGTGTTAGGCGCTATGTTATGTGCTAATACCTGTAGGCACTGATTCCTGTTTAGGAAGCTTATCACTCTGCAGAGGTACAAAATAATTGCCGTTCTGGATATTTATTTACTTTGTGATAGACAACTTTAAAAGCTTCCAAAAAGAGAAAAAACAAATTCTCACAGAAGAGCATCCTACTGGGATTTTTTTTTTTTTTAAACTCCTGAAGCTAACCTGAAGATTGAATTACATTGTTAACAGAATTTAACATTTCTGAACTGTATCTTTGAGGTAAAAATAAAACCTCATAACCAGCTAATATTAATATCAATCAAAAGAATCTCCCTCCAGCAGAACTAAATCAACTCATGGGCTATGTATTAACCTACACTTGTGTACCAGTGCTATAATATGTTAGGGTCATCCTACATATTCCCCACCTATGCCTTAAGTAAGCCTGCAAATGACCTTGTCAGCAGCTGGAGGAACTACAATTTTGCATCACATCAGTTCGAAGTTGGGTGCTGGGAACCTGTGTCTGGAGTGCAGAATTATCTGCAAATGGATCAGTGTGCTGTCCTTCCTGGGTCCTGATGGTCCTGGAGGTGCACTGCATGAGTTTCTCTAGACTTTTTGCAACAAACGATATATTTTGTTCACTCAGACACCTCCATTTGAATACCAGTATTTAGACTACCACATATCTTGTCGCACTGAGCTCATAAACTAGGAATTATTGCATCCTCATTCACCTACGCAAGGCTTTCCTTCTGTGACAATAGTCACAGATAGAATGTCTTTCATCAGAGAAGTAATCTAATTTTAAACAAAAGCAGATTGTTGCTGTAAATTAGGAATAGTCCACATTGCATTTAGCAGTTTGTAAATAGTATGAGCTCATGAAGGGGGAGCATAGATCACTGAGCAAGTGAAAAGGAATCTGCACTGTTGGGCTGTCATGTTGTGGAAGAGGTCAGTAACTTGGAAGACATCTGGATGTCTTGATCAATGACTGTTTTAAGACATCCCTCATTTTATTTTCCCTAGTATGTACATAGCAGTAGCTGGAGTCTACCAAAGGAATGCTGCCCCACAGCAACAGTGACATTTGTGCTTGCACTACAGCAACACCAAAGAAAAAGGTAATGGCTCTAGCAGTAAATCAGAATCACGCAATGAATGGAAGAATTCTCACTCTGTAAACTTTTGTAACACAGCTATGTAACATTTGTTAAACTCAAAGATAAACAGTAGTAAAAAGGCACTTACCACCATCCTGGTGTGAGAAAGTCTGTGAAGAGAAAAAAGAAAGAAGACTGGTTAAAACTTTCTAGGGTTGCTTTTATGGTTCTTTGTCACTTTTAAATTGGTAACTGGGATTTTGGCTCCTCAGGTCTAGGTGCAGTTAGAAGCCAAGGAAGTGGGACATGGTTATAACAGAAAGGAAAACTTTTGCTGTTTTTCATAAGCAGCATCATTCAGAAGTGGCATTTATGTCAAATGATGCTATTTTTGGGTGCTACTGGGAGGGGGAAGCTTGAGATTCCTTCCAGGCATCCTGACATCTTTCATTGGGTTCCAAAAGCTCACATGGCCTCCATGCAGATAAGCTATGAGATAGTGTACTAAATCCCCTTCTTGAAAAGGCTGGAATGGGGAGGGGAAATCCAACTAGTCCAAACAAAAATAGATCTGACACCTCTGTATCTTTGCTGCTTTTGGTCATCCTGGTTTGAGATAAATGCCCTGCAACTGCCCTCAACCTTCCTGTAAATGCATCAATTATAGCTGCTATTTTGGAATAGCGTTAAGAGTCTCAGTTTCAGTCTATGTCCAAATGTGTTTTTTTTTTTTTTTTTTTTTTAAATACCTTTTGCAAGTTGTCGAAGGACTTCTCAGTCTCCTTTAGTTTCTCCAAAATGATTTGTTCTTTGGCAGATATTTGAGATTCCTCACTTTCTAATTTCTGTATTTCTTGTTCCAACCTGTGGGAGACACACAGACATGCACATACACAGAAAAATAAAACTTATAAAAGCTATTTCAGTGAGATAAAGTCACCAAGGTAGTAATTAGAATTTCAAATGTCATAAGGAATACCTTTTATAATTGCTATTCACAATTGATTTACTAGCGTGTGAATGGACACAAACTATTTATAAAGCATACATTCAAGACAAAAAACATAATTTTCTTATTACAGACTTTTGCAAAAAAACTGCGGATTAACTAAAAGTACACCTTCATCCCAATTCCTTTAACATCTCTCAGACATGTACTTCCATTTAGAAACCAGAGTATTGAATATAACTGTAGAAATCAGTGATGATTAGAGGAATGCTGCTGCTAGTGCTGCTGTACTACAGACAATGAAGTGGAAATAGCTTTTGGAAGCTGGCAGACAACTAGTTGTATTAGGAGTTTTTTAGGAGCAAGTGCATCATCCAATTTCCTTAATAACTCTGGTTGGCTGGAGCTTTCTTCAAGGGTAGCTAAAAGCCTTGGATCTCCATCCATGCTTCCTACCATTACTGGATGGTACTGGGGACCCCAGGTGCTATACATAATAAAATACACAGAGAACAGTGTTATTCTTCTAGGCAGCAAACAGGCTTGCTGAACTTTGTGAGATCTAAGAACATTCACTTCTGAAGATGCAGTTCATCTTGATTTGGGATATTCTTTAACCACAAATACACAAGATCAGATTCTCCATTACTTTAACTTAAACCTGCTTTTATTGCCATGATTTATATCAATATTATGCAATTATATTCTTTCTATTTTTAAGCACATCCTTGTTCCTATTTTCTCAATTTTGGAAATAAATAAACAAAGGAACAAATTTTTGTCCTTCTCCATCCCTGTTCAGCATAGGGCTTCATTAATGCTTGTTCGATCAAAAGGCAGAGGGCAAGAAGAAAGTGACTGTGCACATTGAGCTGGGAGGCAGGGAAGGATTACTCCTTTTAGGAGCTCAACAGCTTGGGTTGCTTACAAAATTCATGTGCCCAAATGTAAATATCGTTAGAAACTGCAGTCCCAATCCACCTAATGTTTTCTCCAAGTTAACATAAAATGTTGAAAAATGGAAATATTTCTTTCTAGTGAGATAGAGAAAGTTGGTACAGGGAATACTGCAGGGAGAAAGTTTTCAAAAGTACTCTTTCATCTCAATTTTCCTTCCCAGGAAATATTTTTAAATTGAAGTGAAAAATCATTTGTCATCAAGGTCAGAGATTGCCATGCTCCTACTTAATGAATTTAGAAGTCAACAGAAAAGTGGTTTCATTTTCTTCCGTGTCCCTCGGGGTGGTTAGTAGAACCATGCACATTTATACCTTGCTGACAAAGACATTTGAATTATTATGTTCTGACGAAATTATGTCATGTAGCTGGGTGAGTGGGGTTTTGGTAGTGTGTCTCTTTTCTTCCCACGTGAATTACTCAGCAGCGCGTTCGGGATACATATTGTGCAGCCTGGTGCATGTTGCTAGACACATGACCCAGGAAGAGACTGGAAAATGGCAGTGCACAGGAGTCAGCAACAACAAAATTCACGTGAAAAATTCTTTCAAATGAGCTAGACATGGGTTCGTCTGTTATGACAATGAAAACACTGAGGGCACATGTGCTATAAGGCAACTCACTTGGTGTGAGTAACGCTGCAAATGTTTGTATACTCCTTGCAATCAGAGGTGATCATAAATGCAGATTTTGTGCACTGGCTCAAAGCTGTGAAAGGAATTGCTTGCCATTGTGTGGATTTATAATTTCTTACTTTCTGGATATCTGCTGTTTTTTTCTTTTTTTTTTTTTTTTTTCCCCCCACTTGTATGTGTTCCTCTTAACCTTCACTCCCAGTCCACTTACATAGTTTCTGCTGCATTCATGCCAGACAACTGTTGCCACTAAAAAAAATTTGGACAGATATATCAGATTTTCCTATTCTGGAAACTTTTTCTTCTTCTTCTTCTTCTTTTTAACCTTCTAGAATCAGTAATATCAGCAACGTGCTGAAGAGGAAAGGAATTGATACAGAGCTGCCAGCATTAAAGTAGGACTCTTAGGGACAGAGATCCTAGAATGCTTACAACCTTGTGTTGTAAGTCCACATTGCTCTTCTTCCACTGAAATCATTGCAGGCAGGCTAAGAATTTTAAGGCATTACTGAGACTGGATCTAGTCCTGCAGTCGAAATACTGGATCCCTAGCTGCAGCAGGAGAAATACGGATCATTCAGTTGTGTTTAGCTAGAATGCACTCTGTTATACAGCACAAGGATCATTTACCAAGCATTATTATCCACAAGAGATTACTTTATTCCTTGTCACTAAAGTTTACAACTGTACTCTCTATGATTGAAAGCCGAGGAAATGCTAATGGTGTATGTGAGGTAACAGGACCACTCTGCACAGAATGCTGTTTCAGTGTGAGCTGTTGTATACATAAACCAGCAAATCATATAGGTACCAGAGACCTCACTGGAAAATACATCTTCTTCAGTAGGCCTACCATCTTTGCATTTCTTACACTGCAGCAGTACAAAAATTAAAGTCACAATACAAACCGAAGGTTGTTTTGTGTCCTTTTTTTTTTTTTTTTTTTTCTGTTGTATCATACTGCCAAATTTTCTGAGTGACCAGGATTTCTGCCAGCTATTTTGGTAACAAAATACAAAAGGCAAACGTAAATTGAGCCTGAGAAACAGGCACTAATAGCACATTTGTTTCAGGCAACATGTTGTATAATGGTCTACACAGCAATAAATCCATCAAAGTACATGTGCACGCACACGCATATACAAAGTCCTTACATTCTTCCTGTGTAAGCCTTCTAAATATTCAATAATGTCCCTTTCTTCTAGCCCAGTTTAAAGAGGATGTGTTTTAATTGTCATTTGACACCTGGTAAGGAAACCCTCTAATTCCTTTCTTCCTGGCTCCTTAGCAGACTTCAGGCTAGAGTTTGAATGACAGCCACGACAATAAAGCCATCAAATAAACAACTGCAGTATCTGGAATGCTGTAGGGAATGCACACAGAGGGAAATGGAGCTCAAGACTGTTTTGAAGTGGTGTAAAACAGCCTGTTAGCCTAGCTGCTTCTCAGTACAAGTAGTTATCTGATCTCCAGGATCTGCTGAACTGTTGCCATAAGGATTAAAAAAAACAGGTGATGAATTCAGGAGTTTCTTTGTCATGGGCAGGTCTTTACAGTGGGCGTACACCGAGTCCCACTTCCCTTAACATCATAGGAACAAAGAGGGGAGATTTCGTCACTCAGAAATCCAACTGGGCCTTGGGCTTTCTGTACCTCAGCTTCCTTTGGTGGACATCTGCCATAAGCACTTGAGGATACAAGAGCATTTTCAGTGGTGTGATTTCCTCGGCTGCAAGGGATGTTTCTCTTGCCACATCTCAGCTCCAAATTTGTGTCCCAGGAGGTGGAGACAGGAAAGTGGTTATCTATCCAGCCCTGTCGGGTAATTCCCAGCAGGGCCATCAAGAGCTCTGTTTTGGTCATGCTCTCCTGGAAGCATGTAACCTGAAGGCACAAGGAAATCCAGCATATTTCAAGGGTTCCTGTGTATCCTGACTTGGCGTCCAGGAGGCTGGGGAAAAGGTGCCTGTTGAAAGTGGTCCAGACTCAGTTATGAAAACCTGATAGTGTCCCATATGATGCTTGGGCTCAGCACTGAGAAGAATGCTCATGAAAATCAGGTAATCTCCTTGGTCATTTTTACGGTGACGTCCTACCACAAAGGGGAGAAAGCCATGAACAGAAGATGTTTGGGGATTCTGTCTCTTGGCCATCATTTTTCTGCCATCTGTGGGTACTCTCACTCATTGGTTGGTAAGATTACAGAAACAATAATCCGGGTCAGATGGGAGACTTCTAGAGGCCTCCAAGCAAGGTTAGTTATGAGATCATACCAGGATGCTCAGCACTTTGTTCAGTGAAGGCTTGATATCCTCTAAGGCTTTGGGGAAAAGAAAGTATTTTCAAGGCTGCTGCTAGGCTTTCTCTTTCAAAATCTGTAAGTGTCAGATAAGATGCCCTGTGGAATTCAGAGCATAACTGCTCAGTTCTGCAGGGGAAGAGGATGCATCAGGTGTCTGCAGGAAATCTGATTGTCATGTTTGATAGAATTTGAGCCTGTGTCAGCAGGGTGGGATATTCTGAGAGAGCAGGAATGATGGGATGACACCTCATGCGGGGATGCTGGGACCAGAGATCAAAGGAACTTTTGGAGAGCACAGAAATATTTTTAGTTCAGATGACAGAAAGGGAAATTAAGAGGGGAGAGCTAAGAGATGAAAAGAAAAGAGATGGTTGGTACTGTGGTATATGTAAATGTGCATTTATGTTGAAAACAATGAATCAGGCCTTTGTCTTCCTCTTTGCTGAAAGATACATGTGCTTTGCCCTGACCCCAGCAGAGACCCTGAAGAGGGTTCTCAGTGTGCTCACACAGTTGATGCACAGCCTTGCTCTTTGCAACAAGGACACACAAATCTTAAGGAGAGCCATGCCAGAAGACAACACAGCCTCCTCTGTCCAGGAGGACACTAACTCTGGCACACACATGCTTTCTGGAGATACCTCATTTGAGAGAAAGCTCAGCAGTATTTTTTTTTCTAGGTAGGACTGTAAAGCGTCATAAGCAGGGAGAACAGCCACAGGTTTAAAGACCAGTTCTTTAGCCTGTTTTAGCTCTGTGCCATTTCTGCAGTGAAGACAGATGCATAATAGAAATTATGTCTGTGGCATACATACTGATGTGTCAGTAGAAAAATGAACATTCATCTGCATGAATAAGGAAAATATACAAAGGAAAACAGGAAAGACTTAATCAGAATAAACAGTGAAATGGAAAAGGTGAAGGATGTGTATGCAAAGTGAGGAATGGCTCACTGTGAGTATTTTACCATTGTTTAACTGACACTCTAAATTAACCTAGTACAAAAGGCACGAAGGAGTAA